GACCAGTTTAACAAAATGCTGACAAGCTCATTATATTAAACTTGGGTAACATGCTGGCTCTGAATACACTGTTGAGAACCTTAATTTACAACTGAGTTGGAATCTTTCCCCTCGTATTTCACTGTTTTTGTTTCGAAAGCATTAACACCTTCTGTTAAAGTCAGTTTTATTTCACTAGCAGGAAGTGAAACCAAGACCAGTGAGCATTTCTCTGCAGTTGGTCAATACCTGCCAGGGTTTCTCTCTTTTTGTTGCTCTTTGGGTTTTTCTGGGGTTGGGGGGGGTTGTTCTGTTCTGTTTTGTTTTGAGGCAGAGTCTCTCTCTGTACCCCAGACTGGCCTGGAACTCATTGTGTAGCCCTGGCTAGCCTCAAACTCAAGGCAGTCCTTATGTCTCCCAAGTGCTGGGATTGTAGACATGAGCCACCACACATGGCTTATTCCCTTAAAGTCAACTGAAATGTTTTTTAACAACTTCTTGGAATATCTATAGTAAATGTTCTTATTCAAGTGAAGTTCACAAAGTGTCGAAAGGGGTGTCTAAGTACTGTACTTTATCCCTTAAGTAAAATATAATATAATTAACATAATATAATATACAATGGTATATATAATATTAGTAGTTTTACATAATATAAGAAATGATATATAAACATAATTCAAATATATATACACACATACAAACATACATAAACATGTAAAAGTACATGTTTAGATACATGAACATATATCAACTTGGTTCATAAACTTGAACAATTTTAATATCCAAGAAGCAGCTTATGAATGTTTGTGTCACCTACATGGCATATGCATGCCATTGTCAGATGATCCTAAGGTATTCTTTTGAACAGCAGTGAAGTGCAGATGCACTCTATCCAGATGGAGGGGTCACCATCCTGGCGACAGTCTGGCTCCCTCCTGTGTAGCTCACCCCATCTCACGTTTGGGTGACGCTGTCTAGGAGCTTCCCGAGAGAGAGTGAATGGGGATATCTTGACCCAGATCCCCATGTCGAGTATCCAAGATGCAATCCCAGACCTGTCAGAAAATGGTCTGTGGAGAAGTCCGGCTGCTGGGGATATTCTGTGCAAATCGTATTCACCCCTAAATACCAGGGTGAATTGCTGGACCATATGGTGCTATGGTTTCAGTGTGTCTCTAGAGTTCATACTTCAGAAGCTTGGTGCCTAGGGTTGCTAGGTGGCAGGTGTACCTCTAGGTCATAAGGTCTAACAGAAGGTCTGGTCATTTGAGGTAGTGCTTGCAGAAGGAATTAATGTGATTACTATGGGACCCTGGCTCTTTCCCACGATAACAAATCATTATAAAAGAATGAGCCTGACCCCTGGATCCTTCTGGCTTCCTGTCTCAGTATGTGACTGCTCTGTTCCTCCCACATGTGTTCCTAACATAATGTCATCCAGCAGTGAGGCCTTCAGATACATCTGCCTGGTCCTGGACTTTCAGCCTCAGAAATCTGTGTTCTGCAAGATTTGGCTATCAACATTTCATCATGGGCTAGGGAGAGACTCCTGAGGCCCCAGCCCTCTCTGAGGGACACTTGACAGTTAAAGGTGGCTGAGGCAGTGGGATGGCTCTTTGTCCAATGGTGTAGCCACTGGTAAGTTGCCCATGCTCCAGTAAATAACTGCTTGTCCATGCTTGTGCAGGCAACACTAGTTAGCTCACACACTTGTCAGAGTTGAAGGAGAACTTGCTGGGGAGGAGGGGGACTTCAGTAGGAGAGGGAGGGGAATGAGAAAGGGAGGTAGAGATAAAAATGGCCAAAATTCGTTTTATATATATAGTCAAGAATATATACGAAATTGTCAAGAATAAAAATATGTATGCTAAATAAACACATTTGGTTTGTTTTCAGCTTCAAGTACAATTTGTTATAGTACCAGAAAATAGACTAATACAGATTCACTAAAGGCATAGCCCAAGATCATCATTACTAAGTGTTGATTATGTCGGAAACAATACCTCCGATTTGTTAGCAACTGGCTTGGAGAAGTAGGTTGCTCTGAGCGAGCTTGTGCATGCCTTCCATTTTCATTTCTCCCGGGTAAATAATGAAGAATAGAATTTTTGGATCACGTGGCATACATACACTTAGCTTTGTTAGTGATTACCAAAGGGTTTCTAAGATCATTCTACCATTTCCTTTCCCAGCTGTGACATGAGAGGTCTAGTTGCTGTGTGACTCCAGTGCTCACTGTGACAGACTGATCTTAAGGGTGTGAAGTAGTAGCTTTCTATAGTTGAATCTGTGTTATTTTATGGATATTAGTTTTAAGGACATTTTGTGTTTTTTTTTTCTTTTTTTTTTTTTTGAGGCAGGGTTTCTTTTTATAGCCCTGGCTGTCCTGGAACTCACTCTGTAGACCAGGCTGGCCTCAAGTTTACAGAGATCCATCTGCCTCTGCCTCTCGAGTGCTGGGATTAAAGGCATGTGCCAACACGCCTGGCTTCTTTTGTGTCCTTTTTGACCATCTATAATTCCTTTATGATCAAATTCTTGTTAAGTCTCATGCCCATTGTTATTTGGTTGTTTGCTCTGTCAATCTGCCACTCCCTCTCAAAGGCATGTCCCCTCACTTTGTGGTGATGTCTTTGAGTGTACAGCGAGTTTTTATGTTGATGAAGTCATGTGCTAGTTTTTTTCCTCTGACTACCCCAATAATGTTGCCTTTTTTCTAGGACATATTACAGGTTCAACTTTTTACTCGGGCCCTTGAATCTTTCTAAGTTTAGTTTGATGGTTATGGCTATGGTTTAGTTCTAATTAATTTGTGCTTATGGTGCAAAGTTGACATTGAAGGTCTTTTCCCATGTATCCACCAACCCTTGCACCTCTTGGTGGAGGCTAATTTCATTCCTCTGCTGATAATCCACACAGATTTGTAGAAGATTGCTTGGCCATAGCCATAGGTCTGTTTTCAAATCCACGTTTGCTCCTTTGATTTGTCTTTTCTGCAGTAAGTTTACATGATTGTGAATACTGTTTCTTCATAATCAATTACATAATCGGGGACTTTAAGTGTTCTGATTTTGTTTTTCTTTCAGGTTTTATTGGTTACTTGCCTTTCTAAAATACAGCTTCCCTTTGTTTTTAAATTGCACACTTCATAAACACAAACGATGTTTCCTGCTCAAGCCCACCCCCGCTGCTCCTCTGAGTGGAGCACTCCTCTGAGTGGAGTACTCCTCTGAGTGGAGCACTCCTCTGAGTGGAGCACTCCTCTGAGTGGAGCACTCCTCTGAGTGGAACACTCCTCTGAGTGGAGCACTCCTCTGAGTGCTCCACCTGCCGCAGCCCCGGCACCACTTCTCCCTCCTAATCGTGTTTACTCTTTTCTCTAACCCGCTGGATCTGACGAGTGTAGACAGTACGCACATGGCTGTACAGCGTCCCCAGGAACAGGGAGCCTATCAGGGCCACAGCCCTGGGAAACACTGGCTCTCCTTCCGCCAGCAGCCGCCCATAGCTCCTCGGCCGGGGTTGGGACTGGTGACCTCTGCTGCCTATGCTGGAGTTGTGCCTTGCCTGCTCCTGTGCAAGCTTCTTACATGCAGCCAACGCTGCCGTGGGTTCTTGTGTGTGGCGGGGCTGCCATGTCAGGAGAACACTGTTTCCAGCAGTCCTGCACAGCCTCTGACTCTTTCATCATCTGTCTGCCCCCTTCCATGATGGTCCCGGAGCTTGGAGGTTTGATATAGAGTCCCACTGAGGGCTGAGCACTGCAGTCTCTTATTCTCTGCACTTGGACCAGTTATTAGTCTCTATATTAATATCCATCTATTGAAAAAAAAAAAGGAGGCTTCTCTGATGACGGCTGAGATCTGCACCAATCTAGGGGTATAAAGATAAGTATTTAAAGAACAGTTTGATACTATGTTCATTTAGCAGAATAATAGTAGGTTAAGGTCTATGACCTTCCCTACCAACCACAGATTCTTACTCCAGTTAACAGTACCAAGTATGTGTCCTGTATCATGGAGTGGGTCCTAAATCCAACCAGATTCTGGTACGAGGGCCCGCACAGTGATAAGAGTGGGTATCCTGGGCTTCCCCTCATTTAGGAGAAAAGCACTTCTTCTTCATCATTCAGAATGCTGCATGGGCTTGCAGGTGTTCTTTGTCAAGTTCAGGGAGCTCCTCCCTAGTCTTAATCACAAATGTGAGTATTGACTTTAGTTAAATGGTTTTTCTCCATTTGTATTATAATGATCTGAACTGCTTCTTCTGTATCTTATTATGATGGATTATGTTAATTAATCGATATTTTAGTATTGAACCAACTTTTCACCCTTAGAGTTAGCCTCGCATGGTCACACTGTGTAATTCTTGGTGTCTATATCTGAGAGCTGTTTGCTT